CAAGCTGGCCTCAAACACAACAAGGTCACTGTCATTCATCAACGCGCTCCAGCTCGAAATCGAGCTTCTCAAATTGAAGGGGAGCTTGGTATCTAACTAGGCTTGTACTTTTGTTGTTGTCATCATATCTCCTTCTAACTGCTTATATCATTTTACTGCTGTTGTTTCACTGATGTTGTAGCAGTCCTTTTCTGCATGTTTGTATTCATGATTTTGGACACTTAGGGTATGTCATATGTTCACATGCTTTGTTATATGTAGTACATGCCTATCATCGATACACTAGTCTTGTTGACCCTTTCCTGTTTCCTGTAAGTCTTGTAAGTCTCTACCCCACTAAGTACTCCATCAACTGTGCATGAGCTTGGTGGCCAGTAGTACCTTCAGATGAGGTATCTCCTACCTCACTAATGTCAAGGTCTTCTGGCTGTGGAGGTAGTATAAGATCTGACCCCTACCTTCTAAGGGCCCAGTTCTCAGTACCATCTGGACCCCCAGAGATGCCACGATGTTCCTCAAACCAAATGATCATGCTGTGCAGGATGAGGCAGCACATGATCCAATAGGAATGATACTTCAGATGCTCTTTATTCTGCAGTGGGTGCCGGAGCTCTCGAAGAGACTGGAAACAGCCCTTAAGAGCAGCAAATGTATGCTCTACCTGTATACGAATCTAAAAGAAATGTGAATATATACTAGGAAAAATCAAGAAAAATACAATAAAATAAGACACATACCTTGGAAAGGAAAGTATTAAATTTCTTCTGCTCAGGGGTCAAGGCCCCACCAATAGGCTTCTTTAATGGGGGAATACACCATGGCTCTATTGGATAAGCACTATCAGCCCAAATCCAATGGTTATTACCTAGAAGTGTTTGATGATTCTGATAGATGTGGGTAGAGTAGAATGCATATGCATCATGGGCACTACCAGTGTGACAAAGAGAATAATCAACTATAGTAAGATTATGGGGCATGATAACCACCTAAAAATTAGAAAAATCAGCCTCAAACAAAAAAAATAAAAAATAAAACATGCCTGGTAGTTGAGGGAAATTTGAGACTTCCTACTGTAAAAGGCATCCCCAAAGAGACCTGGCCTTTGATAAAGATTGAACAATGATCCATCAACAGCTAAGATACCATTCTGCTACTCTGGGCAGCCCAAGGTTTTGAGAGCATAAGCTCGGGCACGAGCAGCATCAACAGAGTTAAGAGTGGGGAAGGAGATGAAGTTATCATGCTCTGCCAGCAAGGCAGCCATAACACAATTGGTACAGTTAATGACTGACCCAACAGACACCCCTGCCCACTGGGAGATATCCTCAGGAGAACTTGCATTGCCATAGTGGCCAACTCGATTAAGGAAGATAGTGAGCTGCACTACAACTGGAAGTTGGGGATTGTTGGATTGATTGTGGAAAACATGGTGATTACTGATCTGATTGAGAATATCATCGAAAGTCTCAGGAGGGATGCATAGCTTCTTTTGGAACAAATCAGGGCAATGAATGGCAAAATGGTAAAGGAGTTGGATCTATGGTGCTTGCATAGGGGGCTCATCTGGACGGTTAAGAACATGTTGTAAAGAGTTGATTCCTGGTGGGCTATACAAAAGGTGTTACCTTAAGACTCAAAAGTGCGAGTGAGATGTTCGTCCCAAAGAGACTGCCTGTAGGATTATCTCTTGATAAAATGCAAGGGATATCTTGTTAAGATTGAAGGTGAGAGAAGGGAAGGATACCTCAAGTACATTCAGAGTTCCAAAGAATTGTCCATAGTGTCCGATGCGTTGTCCGAAGCATCCGGTAAAGGTCCAACATCAAGAAATGAAGGTCTGAGGTTGCGCAAAGCTTCCGGCAAGCTTCCGGTGCAACAGCAAGGTTTCCAGTAGAGAATATGGTGTTTGTCAAAGTATAGAACCCTGTGTAGTATGACTAGTGAAGTTCGTCGAAAGACTTAAGGATTTCAATAGCAAAATGGCAGCAGTGAGGCCAAACAATCATTCCAAATGAACAAAGGTCAATTGCAAAGTACTAATTTCCGAAAGTGACTACTACTAACTATGACTCAAAGCAAGGGAAGTGAAGTGAGTTGCGAGTATCTAGCAAGCCAGAATATATCCTACAATGTGAAAGTCTGGAATCTGTGTAGGCAAAAACTGTAGTGAGATAAGACATCCAAAATGTAATAAGACTCAAGGTGAGCCGCTATGAAGATATACATGTAATAATGCACAAGGTGCATATCAATATGTATTAGCAAATATTTTCGATGTATGTGCCCCTAGACATAATCAACAACAGATAACCAAGTGAAAAACGCACCAGCGAAGTCAAATGGACAAGAATAGGACATGGTACAGAGGATTGGAAAAGCTAGAAAGGCCTTGGGAATGAGCGGACAACCTTCAGACAACTCGTACGAGTGCACGGAACATTTGGACTATCGGAAGTGTGTCAAAGGATGTAAGATATGATTTTGACCAGATACGTGCCCAGCACCAACCCGAGTGTTACAATGTTGTAGAGACTAATATCTCTGTGGGCTTGCAGGGATCTAAATTCCAATTGTTCCAATCACTTCCTAATATAGTGCAACTCATATCTTACCCAGCGCATTTGAGCACTCCATCGGCCGCTCGCGCACACAAGTGCTTCAGTCACGCTGTAGAAACAACAATACAGCGAGGTGCGAACGAGGCTCCTGACTGTATCTGTAAATGTTGTAGGTCGCGTGTTGCCTAGTCTGCTATACTTGAGAAGACAAGTGCATTCGACCCTAAAGGGGAAGCAAGTGCAGCGAAGATCTAAAGGTATGTGCTGAAGGCACTACTGGTTGGCCAATGCCAAGCACGAGAAAGCACGCAGGTGCATGCAAGGCACAAAGGCGTGGGAACATGCGCACGTGCTGTGCAAAGTGCAGGAAAGTGTGTGCGTGTATGTGGAAATGAGAGTGAGTTTGCTTAAGTGATGATTAGATGCAAGATAAGAGATGAGAGATGCAAGATGCAAGATGTAAACAAATAGATTTCTACTATGTTCTGCTAGGTAAATAGGGGGTAGTTATCAGTCCAAAAGTTGGGAAGTCAAGTAAGGTGGTATGTACTGCTGGCGCTTAAGTATGGTGCCTAAGCACTGTCATGCGGAGCCGAAGCGCTTCCAAGTAAGGTATGTAAAGATATCTATAAGTAAGGGTCCATGATAAAAATAAAGGTGGAATGATATGCAAATGAGAGAGATGAAAATATACATACTAGAGAATTTGGTGGACAGTGGATGGATGCGTTCGGATGGCTGGTGCTATAGGGTGCTCAAGTGCGGGAAAGCGCACACATGCGCGCATATACATCATGAAGCATGGGAAGAGTGTGCGGGAAAGCTGCGCCTCATATAGGAATAACTGCGGATAGCACACAGAGTGGTGCTGCAAGTTCGTGCAATGAACTCCCTAGTGAAAAGTGCCATATCATACCATGAGAGGCATGAGTCTCTACAGCCCATTGGTGTGCGCATCTTCGGTTCCATCACCCATCCTCCATCCATCCATTCCATGTCCATTCGGTGTGTGTGAGGAATGATAGCTAGATGAGAAGGGGTGAAAGGGGAAGAAAGGGTGAAGTGGGGTGAAACTCAAATAGACCTCTGGACGTGAGTATATGATTCGGCCCAAGGGGATTGCTACTGAGAACAATTCCTCTATATAAAAGTGGAGGGAAATCACTGAAACTAATAAGGGTGGTTGAGAATGGATGGAACGCAATGCGATGCGAGCATGAGCGAGCCGCCGTTAATGCGGCGCAGAACGAGGTTGAGTGGCCGAAGATACGTTAACGCGTGATAAAGTGTGGCCGTGCGGGAAGATATGCGGGTGCCGTGAAGTATTAGGAATAACGCGAAAGGCCGATAGTTACGCGTGGCGGTTGACACGAAGTTTAGACTTTTGGTTCAGACGGTAATGCGTGCGAGTGATGGATTCTATATGGGAGGTAAGAGATACATGAAATTTGTACGTACAAGTATATATGAGGACGCGCTGAAGCGCTATTCGGAGCCGAGTAGGTAGCGGCTGTAGGTCATAAGGGTCCATGACGAAAGTAATAGCTATATAAACGAATTAGTGTTGGAATTATGGTCAGTCTATTCCAAAACAAGTGAAATATGCACCGATAGACCAGCGGAGGACATGAATAGGACAGGATAAGGACGTGTGACAGGGCCGAGTAAAAGCCGTTACGGTCCGATATACGCACACGAGCCGCAGCCATCGGCCAATAGTGGGAAAGATATGCGCCGCGTTAGCATTGGCGTGCGCAACACAAGGACCTATGGGACAATGCAAAAATAGCCTTTACAAGGCCACAAGGACTCTAAGTCCTACATTGGTTCATTGGTGCATATTCCGATTCTATTCTCATTAATTCTGACATATCTCTGGCGCTTATGACCATATCTCGTATGTTTTCCGTTATGGACCCTTATTACATATTATTTTGTATCTGTTTCACTTCTCAGTTCGCTTTAGCGCTTGACAGCGCTTATCATTACTTAGTATATATACACACGCCTAAACTGTATAATATCCATCTTTCTGCCCACACATCATTGGACTTTAAGTCTAAAAGTTCTCCCTCTTATCTCTTAAGTATCTAAGTATAATACGAGCGCCACCACTGTACACTACTAGAAACTCTGCCAATTAGTTTTCTGACTCATTAAGAGTTGCTGTGCTCCACCATCTGCATGTGCGCACCGCTTCTGTTCAAGTGCGTGTTTCCATTATAAGTCGCGAGTTGTCGGCCATTGTCGCTCATCAGCACTTCACGTCACTTTTGCTCGCTAGCGCTTTGCTCATCGTCGTGCACCTTACCAGGCTTGACCAAGCGCCCAGTCCAGTGTTTCCCTCCATAATATACACTTAGAGGAACCTTCTCAGTAGCAATCCCCTTGGGCCAACATATATCTCGCTCATCAAGGACTACTTGAGTACATCTCATACCATCATATAACCCCACTTCCCATTCCTCTTCTACAATGTGTTTCCTCCACCTCTTCCTGAAGAGCAGCAAGGGAGCCCATTATATGGAGGAAATGCTGATGAATTTTGATGGACTCTGACATGTTGGAGTCATCAGAAGAGTCAGACATGTAGAGGGACATAGGGGACATAGGGGACATAGGGGAGGGTGGTGATGGTGTCCTGATGACAGAGTCCTCAGAGGATGAAGAATCAGACTCAGAGACTTCACCATCTGCCTGGATATGTTCAGCCCAGGCTCTGGCTACATCTAGAGTAGCAGTATCTATTTCATTGAGCAGTTGTTGACAGTGAGATTGGCGAGGCATTGGGGTTGTAGGTAGATTGCTATCTTCTGCTGATTAGATCAATCTAAGTGAATTTTAAGCAGAGTTTAAATTATTACCATTTTGGTCTATGCTGTACCAAGCAGCAACCTCACAGTACAGCAAAGGGAACAATGACTATTCTCATCCCCTTCCAACCCTCGTGCACTTCACCATCTATGTGCTTGCAAGTGTGCCAAGTGGACTCAGTCATCAGTGGCCATCCAGACTTTCATCGAAATTTACCCTTACTCACTGTAGAAACAACTATTCAGATGGGGATATACTGAACTATGTGTTGGGTCTTGCTTGCCTAAGCTGCTATGCTTGTAGTGACAAGTGTGTTCAACCCTAAAGGAGAAGCAAGTACAGCAGAGATCTAGAGATTGGTGTGGAGGGTGCTGCTCATCAGCCAACATGAAGCACGGGAAAGCACGAGAACAAAGCGCTTAGGGCAGCCGATGCGTGGGAAGGTAGTGTGGGGAAAGTGCAAGGTGGGTTTACAAGAAGAAATTCATAATAGACATTAAGGATATTCTTATTGCCAATAGCTACCAACTATGGCATGTGATGGGTGAGCTTTACACTGATAGTGAGGTGCAAGGAGCTTCTATATGATTCAATGATGTAAAATATGAACTATAGGCGCTTATATATGTCTAAAAATGTGCTCCTGAAGCGGAGCCAAAGCAAGTAGGTAGAGTATGTAATAAGGGTTTATGATATGAGAATTGAGAAATCATTAAAATATAATATGGTCTGATATGGAGAAAATGATATGAACATGTACCAGTGAGGTTAGTTTGGACAATGGATGGATGTGCGACATAGGGCGCTTCAAGCACGGGAAAGCACGAGAATGCAGTGCTTGGGGCAGCTGATGTGCGGGAAGGTAGCATGCACTTGGCACAGGAGAGTTCCACTTTGCATAGGGAATGATTGGAGAGGTATTGACACAAGTGTGCATCAAACTGTACTTTGAGACGGTCGCATATATAACCTCTGCAAGGCCACAGAGATATCAGTCTCTACATCATGCCCATTTGCACACCCTGTTGGCCACCCAGACTTCCATTGAAATTACCCTTACTCATGCCCATTTGCGCACCCTGTCAGCTACCCAGACTTCCATCGAAATTACCCTTACTTGTGCCCATTTGCGCACCCTGTCTCCAGCTACCCAGACCTCTATTCCTGTCCTCATCCCCTTTCAACCCTCGTGCACTCCATCGTCTATGTACGGCTTGCGAGCATGCCAAGTGGACTCTGTCATCGGCCATCCAGACTTCCATCAAAATTGACTCCATCTTTGAGGGTATCGATTCCTGCCAAGTGGACTCTGTCATCGGCCACCCAGACTTCCATCGAAATTGACTCCCTCTTTGAGGGTATAGATTTCTATACTTCCCTTACTCATGCCCATTTCAAGGAGCTGTGCGCAGACCTGTTCCGCAGCATGCTCGAGCCCGTCAAGAAGGTCCTCCGGGACTCTAAGATCGACAAGGTGAACATCCATGAAATTGTCCTTGTCGGCGGTTCCACATGTATTCCCCGTATTGTTAAGCTCATGTCTGACTTCTTCAATGGCAAGGAGCCCAACAAGAGCATCAACCCTGACAAGGCTATTGCTTACAGTGCTGCCATTCTAGCCACTATCCTTTCTGGTGACACTTCAGAGAAGACACAGGATCTCCTGCTTCAGCTCAATCACCCTACCAGTAGATTACTTTTTATCGTTGTTTGCTAGCTATGAAATACATACCTTTTTGTATGTGTGCACGTCTAACCTTAACTCTATATCAGGACTTTGTAAGATTTGAAGCGCTAAGTGTTTTGAGCGGAGTTTAAAATAAGCTTTTCAAGCGATTTTAAAAACATCTTTCAGAGCAATTCAGAATGGTTTCAGAAGAACTCAGAGCTTTTCAGAGCTTTCATAATCTTACTTTGAATACCATTAGTGTACTGTATATATAATGTGGTGTGCAAAAATAGTAAGACAAGCCAGCAGCAGTGGTGTGACAGAGGAACAAATCAACTAAACCTGGCCCTGTAAGGCCCAGGAATATGTTGTCAACATCAAAGAGACCTTCAAGAGCATAAGAATCTGTTCGGACAGCGAATTTTCGCAAAATTCAAAATTCAAATTTGCTTTGTCATGTTCCCAAGCTATCCAATGTGACCTGCATGACGGACTCTATCGATAACCTATAATGCCAGTTACTCGAGGGACACGCACCTCCTCCTGTACCACACCTCTCTGCTGTAGAACTCGTGGAAAGAGAGCCAGGGAAATCATACCTGAGACCAAGGAGCACACTATTTGGTCTTTAAATGATGAGTCATGGCTCATCCAGCACATCTCCACACACCGCACCAAAGGTGGAGAAGGCCTCAACTTCGACAAGACATTCTGGGCTGCCACTTCTGCTGCGATGGCTGCCGATCAGTCAATGCAAGGCTGTGTCAAGACCTCAGAGGCATGCCAATCAAAATGGTCTCAAGTAAGATCTTAGATCATGTGCAATTGTACTTACTGATGAGCCTTCAGATTCACAGGACTTTCAATGTTGTCGACAGGCTAGCAAATTATTCCAGGATCGATTTCAGTCTGGAGCATAGTGCTAACATCACGGAGGCATCTGAGTCTGTCTGGACAGACCTAGTGAAGGTATTTCATCATTGTTATGGCAACTTATGCACTGATATATTTTTGAGTTTAGAGTATCCCTCAAGCAAAGCAGTACAAGAACAAAGGCTGGCCACATTATGATACCTTAAAGGACATTTTGCCATCAAAGGAAAGAGGGGATATTGTGCACCATGCTACCATGTGGCCTGCAGCGGCAGTCAGTCACCAAGGCGGCAGTACCACCCCCATGACTAGTATAGCTACCCTGCCAAACTACATAAGTACCAGTTCTAGTGAATTTGGAATCGCTGACTTGGAGTCTGGCAGAACTCGGAGAGAGCACTCAACACTACCGAGCATGCCAACCCAAACATCCCACTGGTGCCAGACACACCAATCTCTCCAATCATATTTGATCCTGCACGCCAACCACCCTTGTTCGCTGGTACAAATATTCTGGAGTCCTCCACCACTAGCATGTCCTCTACGCCCACCACCTCAAGGGCACTGGGCAAACATAGAGCTGCTAACGGTGATGATAGCCCAAGGATCATCGGCCGCCCTCCTGACTGCATGAAAACTGGTGTGAGCAGCACATCAGTTTCATCAAAATTGATGAAATTGCAGCGCCACAGTGGCATCTCTTTTCCAGAGGTGTTTGACCACATGAGCACTAAAATTCACGGTCTTAGGTCAGCCTTCAACAGTGCGACAAGTGCAATGCAAGAATGCACCCCGCACATGCAAGAACACATGACGCATGTTGTTGCTCACTCAGTGGATCCTATCCCGGTATGCAAGCAAAGGGCAATCATGTGTGTGCAGCAGGAGGAGGGTCTGACTGATTCGGAGATGGTAGTGGCTATGACACACATTCAAAGTGATGTTGTGATCGCTGATACGTACCTTTCCATTCAGAAGGATGAGCTCTGGAAGTTGTTCTTATCACAGTACTTCAATTAGTTTATGTTTACACGTCTCTTTCAAACTTTATTACTTGTCAATGTATCAGTGTGAAGACCGCTTGTTTGCAGAATAGACTTTGCATGAAAATGATGTAGCTTTGAGTCACTGAATGGGACTGCATGTGCTTCTATACTGTGTAGCTACCGGAACAAAAACTGAATAAGTACTAGTACCGGACTACAAAACTTCTTGGATAATTGGAAAACCTCTGCACTGTCATTCTCTGTTATAATCATCCCATATCTGATACGCAATTGTATCATGCCATGTCTGCACTTGAACACGTTGTAGAAACTACAATACAGAGAGGAACAAATGAGGCTCCAGACTGTATCTATAAATGTTTGTAAGGTCGCGCTTTGCCTAGTCTGCGTTACTTGACAAGACAAGTGCGTTCGACCCTAAAGGGGAAGCAAGTGGAGCGAAGATCTAGTGGTATGCGCTGAAGCGAAGCGTGAGAAAGCGCAGGTGTGCGCAAGGCACGGGAACACGCGCGCGTATTAGCGCGAAGCGCGGGAAAGCGCATGCGCGCGTGCAGAAATGGTAGAGAGACTAAGCTTAAGTGATAATATAATACAAGCTAAGTGAAGAGAGGTGCAAAGTGTAGACAAATAGATCTCTACTATGTTCTGCTAACTAGTAAGTGACTGGTAGGAAAAGTAAGTTGTAAAAATGTAAAGTTAGTTGAAAAGTAAGTAATAGTATGTACTGCTGGCGCTTATATAGCGCGCCTAAGCGCGGTCATGCGGAGCCGAAGCGCTACCGAGTAGGTATGTAAGATATATATGGGTGAGAGTCCATGATAAAAATAAAGATGGAACAATATGCAGATGAGAGAAATAGAAATATACGCACTAGAGAACATGGTGGACAGTGGATGGATGCATCTGGATGGCTGGCGCTATAGGGCGCTCAAGCATGGGAACGCGTGTGCGCGTATACATCGTGAAGCGCAGGAATGGTGCGCGCATGGCGCGGGAAAGTTGTGCCTTGTATAGGGATAGCTGCGGGTAGCGCACAGAGTGACACTACAAGTTCATGCTATGTACTCCTTGGTGGAAACTGCCATATCACGCCATGAGAGGCATGATTCTCTACAACGTGCTTCTTTGTCAGGAGGACCTTCAGCAAGCAAACCAGTGTCATGTGCTCCTGAATCGAGATCGAGGTCGCTGTAGAAACAACAATACTGCTAGGAACAAATGATGCTCCTGACAGTATCTATAAATGTTGAAAGGTCACGCGTTGCCTAGTCTGCGTTACTTGAGGAGACAAGTGCGTTCGACCCTAAAGGGGAAGTGAGTACAGCAAAGATCTAGAGGTACGCGCAGAAATGCGAAGCACGAGAAAGCGCAGGTGCGCACAAGGTACGAAGGCGTGAGAATGCGCGCGCGTATTAGCGCGAAGCGCGGGAAAGGCACGCGCGCGAGGCGCGAAATAAGAAAGACTAAACTTAAGTGATGATATGATACAAGATAAGAGAAGAGTGATGCAAATGAATAGAGATCTACTATGACTTTCTAGGTATTAAGTAGGTAAGTAAAGATGGGTGAAAAAGTGTAGTAAAAAGTAAGTGAGTAATAGTATGTACTGCTGGCGCTTATATAGCGCGCCTAAGCGCAGTCATGCGGAGCTGAAGCGCTACCGAGTAGGTATGTAAAAATATATATATGTGAGAGTCCATGATAAAAATAAAGATGGAATAATATGCAATGAGAGAAATAGAAATATACGCACTAGAGAACATGGTGGACAGTGGATGGATGCATCTGGATGGCTGGCGCTAAAGGGCGCGCAAGCACGGGAAAGCGCGCGCGCGTATACATCGCGAAGCGCGGGAATGGTGCGCGCATGGCGCGCGTTGCGTGGGAAAGCTGCGCATCATATAGGAATCACTGTGGATAGTACACAGAGTGATGCTATGAGTTCGTGCTATGTACTTCTTAGTGAAAACTACCATATCACACCATGAGAGGCATGATTCTCTACATTGCAATAGTCTTGTAAGTCATTTGGATCATGAACACGGATGACATTGTGCACAAAGCACAATGCTGGAGGGATATGTGCCTGCACTTCCATCGCATAGTTGGGTGGAAGGAGGAGGATCTTGAAGTGGCTTTTGAGGACGCCGAATATGCACTTGATGACGTTGCGAAGCATAGCGTGTCGTAAGTTGAAGAGCTCTTTGTGGTTACAGGGCCTTTAAAACAAAGTAAGTACACAGTAGATAACCTTTAGCATGACATACACTAAATTCGCCCGGCCCCATTCAGCCAAATAGTAGCATATTCCATGATATGGGACCAGAAGCTCATTGCAGGATGCAAATCCAGCATCGGCAAGGTAGTATTTTCCCGGAGGGATCCTGAGATCTGTCATGCGAGCAGCATGATAAACACGCGCATCTGCTGCTGATCCCTCCCAACCACTTAGCATGTAGAAAAAAAACATATTGAACGAGCACGCGGCAAGACAATTCTGCATCAAAGTGCCTTTACAATTGCGAGCTCCATGACACTGCTCAGCCGATGGGTGACACGTTATATGTGTGCCGTCAATAGTGCCGATGGTGTCAGTGAAGTACAGATAGAACTTGGGGTTTTGAGAGACTTCAGGGGGTATCGGGTTTGTGGCATCAGGTAACTGAACGTATGTGGTATAGATAGGGGGGCATGAGAACGCAGTGAGAATGTGTTTGAAGTACCTTTGCAGACTTTCAGCAACAAGCACATGTAGTATGATAGGAATGAATGACATACTTTGATATTGTGTCATTAGAGCGCTGAAAGTGCTCACCAAGGTGGCGAACAGAAAGACCTGTGACGCATCCATAGAGAAAGATGGCCAATTGCTCCTCAAGGGTGACATGCTTTGAGTTTCGACATCCCACAGTATGAAGTAGATTTAACAGAACATAGAAAATATGCCGGCATACACCAAGTTCACATTGAATGCAGTCTGGTGCCCAGCAAGAAGTTCATTGACCCATACAATTCCCAACAGAGCTGAGGTGTGATACAGTATCTTCTCAAGGTGGGCCTTTGAATATGTTTCAAAGGCCTGATTAGCTGCGTCAACAACGATCATGGAGACTGCTCAAGCTGCAGGATAGAACAACCCCTCCAGCACATCCAACTCATCATCATCTTCCTCCATATTGACATCTATTAACTTCAATGTGTCACCTGAATCAGATTCTGCATCATCCATGTCCATTGGGTCTTGATCAGGGTTGCAGTGCATTCTGCTGGATGGTGTACAACGACTTTATCGATACCTGTTATCAGCATGATGTGACAGATGCTTGTAATATGATAAAGCAATTTTGAATTTTGAATTTTGCGAAAATTCGCTGTCCGAACAGACTCTAAAATCGCACCCGCCAAAGACAAGCAAAGTTTGTACCGACAAAGTCGGCGCATCCCGAGTCCCGTATTATAATTGACCACCAGAAGCAAATGGGGTTGAAGCAGTAGAATCAATCTCCATCTTTGAACTGGTATTGGAGATTGCGATAGTAGACAAAGATCCAACCTCCAATGCAAATTGTATTAATTGCTGCCTGGCGGTGAATTAGCTCTCCGTAGTCAAGACAGGATTTGGAACTCACTGCTTGTGCTGCTTCAGCATCTCGAGCATTGCAACTACACTGTCCTGCTCCTCCACTAAGAGGTCACCTCCTGCAAGTGTGCTTGCATAATCTTTCGCCTGAGTAAGTGCATGTCTGAAATCATTCGTCTACTAGGACGCTGATCAAACTACTCCATGATATGGCCGTAGGAAAGGACATACCGCATGCAGCAGTGCTTGTTTGGCTACAGGAGTTGCAGTCCCTTCTGCTTTTTGGGTGAGCTCAAGCACCATAGCGAGCTTGGGTAACAATCCGTCGAAAAGTATAGTTGGTAATGAAGTCCATTCCGGTGTACTTGCCATGTTCCAACATTCGAAGGACAGAGTCTGAACGACGCCTATTAATTAACCCAAATTGCTTATGTCATCCATCAATGGTACTGCGGCAAAGCTTGCCTTTCAGTCATTTCGTCACTCCATGTCATCGCAAAGCAATCTAGATGTGAGTGGCGTCCCAGATCTTCTGGATCTGCATATTTCTAACAGATTTCAAGAAAGCCATAGAGCTTGTCAAGGGTGCTATCGAGGATGATGAAAAGCAGAACTATCTTGAAGCGTACAAGCAGTACATGAATTCACTCGACTACTTCATGCTGGCTCAGAAGTGTATGTCCACTTCCGCAAAATCTGCAGTCTGCACTCAGTATACATCCAAATGTAGACGAGAAGAATGAAAAAGCCAAGCTACTCGTCAGGGCAAAGATCGAGGAGTATCTTGCACGTGCAGAGACCTTGAAGAAGCATTTACAGAGAGATGAGAAGAAGTCGCGTAAAGCCGTCAGCGTTGATGGTTCTGCTAATGGCACTGGGGGCAAGGGCTCCACTGACAGTCCCGATGACGACAAAGACCCTGAGCTCAAGAAGCTACGCGCAGGTCTTTCAAACGCCATTCTAGCAGAGAAACCGAATGTGAAGTGGGATGATGTTGCTGGTTTGGAAGGAGCGAAAGCATCCCTCAAAGAAGCTGTTATTCTTCCTATCAAATTTCCCCATCTCTTCACTGGAAAACGGACACCATGGCGAGGCATCCTACTATATGGCCCGCCGGGAACGGGCAAGTCCTACCTTGCGAAAGCTGTTGCTACAGAAGCCAAAAGTACATTCTTCAGCGTCAGCTCAAGTGACTTGGTCAGCAAATGGCAGGGCGATTCAGAACGGTTGGTGCTTGGCGCTAGGTTATGTTCAGCTCGCCTCACAAATTCCCTTTAGGCTGGTAAAGAACTTGTTTGAAATGGCTCGCGAACAAAAACCTGCAATTATCTTCATCGACGAAGTCGACTCTCTAGCCGGAACACGAAACGAATCTGAGTCTGAAGGCTCGCGGCGGATCAAGACTGAGTTCTTGGTGCAAATGAATGGCGTTGGCCATGATGACACTGGCGTTCTCGTTCTCGGAGCAACTAACATCCCTTGGCAACTTGATCCTGCAATCAAACGTCGTTTCGAGAAACGAATATATATTCCACTTCCTGGCCCGGACGCACGGAAAAGAATGTTTGAAATCCACGTTGGCAGTACGCCATGCGAGCTAGAGCCAAAGGACTATCGTCTTTTGGCCGATCGAACAGAAGGGTATGATCTTCTAGCCTAATCTTAGTGAAGTAATCCACCCAACTACTACCTAGGTATTCTGGCTCGGATATATCCATCGTAGTTCGCGATGCTCTTATGCAACCAGTTCGCAAAGTCATATCGGCGACACATTTCAAACCTATACCACCTTCTTCGTCGTCAGGGAAGGCTAAGTGGACACCATGCTCGCCCGGGGATTCAAACGCCGTCGAAAAGACTTGGTCGGATATTGATTCCGATGAGCTTGTAGAACCACCACTGAGACTAGCAGATTTCATTAAGAGCTTAGACAACGTACGACCAACGGTCACCGAGGTGGATATCAAACGACATGATGATTGGACGAAGGAGAGCGGTATGTTGACGACAAATTAGATCCAATCCAATTCTTTATTGACTTTTGGCTTTCTAGGCAACGACGGGGCATAATTCTTGATCTTACCCTACCTCATTACTGCATACCACAATACCGTACTGTTCTATGACATATTCTATATTGCAAAGGAGTCCTTGTGCCGTTCGACAATAGTAGGTGACATAAGACATCGATTCCATGGCCAAGTAAGTACTACAAGAAGCTATGGTAAGCAGGTGCGCAGACAGTGACAGATGTAATAGCAGAAAAAAGAGAATTGGATACTACGACAGAAGGCGTATTGTTCTGTGTATTATGCTTCAAGAATACAGGCGGCGCTGTGTTCCAAGAGGGCTGATATTAGGTTACAACATACAAGGTGTTGGCACACGCGACATGCCCCCGCAAGAACGCCTCATGATGATATGATCTGCGCTTGCTGCATCGCATGCACATGCACGTGCGTGGGTTTTGCTACAGCATGACAAACTTCTATACCCTGCACCCATGAATGCGCCACGATGTCCTCTATCGGAGAACGTAGTTTCGGGTCTGGCTCAAGCATCCTCCGGATTAAACTGCGGCACGCCCGTGGGCTCAGGTTGTTGATAGTCGGTGGGAAAACGACATCCTTGTCTTTATCCTTGTCTTTGTGGGGAACTGCACAGGCTGCGACATACGCCGCATAGAGCGTGTCGGACATTTGAGCAGCACGCCAGGGCATCTCTTGGAAGTGAAGGCAATAATACACAATACCGCACGCCCATATGTCAACTAAACGGGCGTCGTATGCTATTTTAAGTCAAATTAAAGAAATTATTGTCTACGCAGTTAGGCAACTGGATTAAAGAGGGTTGTATGTGGCTTACGTTTGCCTAAAAATTGCTCTGGGGCAATGTACGGCTCGCTACCGCAAAGCCCCGTCGACATGTGAATTGTCGCTTCCCATGGCAGGCGGTATACAGTCGATGCGCCATAGTCGCCGATCTATAAAAGCATAAGAAGACAATAACACACGATGCATGGTTCACCCACCTTCAGATGGCCCTTGGTGTCGAAAAAGAGATTCTCCGGTTTGATATCACGATGTGCGACGCCTTGACTGTGGAGATACGAAACACCCGAAAGCATCTGCTTGAAGCAGCATTCGACTTCACTGGGCGACATACCACCCTTCTTGATTGCAGCGTAGAGATCTCCACCAGGGCAAAATTCCATAACCTCGCACCAATGTTGGTTCTCGTCCTGAACGAGATCCACTGTCTCAACTATGTTGATATGGTGCAGCGTGGAGGAAATACAAAACTCTGCAGTGAGTTTCTTGACGTACTCCTTTTCTGATTCATTCTTTCGTCTTTTGCGGAACTCCTTGATATAAAAGACGTGATGAGCACCAGCCACCAAAGGCTGCGATGGGTAAAGACGGCATGTCTGCTTACCTTGACAGCGTACAGCTTCTCTTCACTTCTATCCCATTTGTGGGCTAGGCGGACGACAGAAGTGGCCCCCTTGCCAATAGCAACCTTTTGGCAAACACCGTACTTCTGCGTTAAACTGGCTGTACTCTCACCACCAACCGATTTTCGATCCACGTCGGAATCTGACTTCTTGCTGCTAGTTGAGCGGGCAGAAGACTTGCGTGAGAGTTTAGGTGCAGACGCAGTGATGAGATCTTTGAGAGTGAATTTCTGTCCACTGTCCGAGTGAGCGTTGGATGGTGCCCTCGAGCGGCTGGTAGGTGGTTTCTCTGACGGCAGAGGTTTGCCCTTCTGAGGAGTCTTTGACGTATTCGGTACGGTTAGTCTGTTGCCTGAGACACCGCCCGACATACTAGGAGCCCGGCTTACAGCCTGACTTGGAGGACGGGTTGAAGGAGCACTCCAATTCTCGCTCTCCGATGGTGAGGGCGAATCTGTTACGGAGGGCGTTGCCGAGCGTGGGGTTCCACCCTTGACTACCTTGGGCGGTTGCATATGCGAAGTCGAGTGGTACGTGGTACCGTTGACGAAAGAATTGGGATGGGGGTAAGTGTGTAGAGTAGTGCCATCAAGCGGGGGCTTGTCTGAGCCATCAGGGCCTTCGCCCTCGCTCTGAGCGGTATCTGCTGAGTCAAGAACCAGCATTGATGTGAAAGAAGACAAGTGGGGTAGAAACGGCGAGATAAACGTGGGGGTTACCAGAGGCTACTAGTCTCCGTTGCTGACCTAATAGCGAATCGTATTCGTTAGAGGACCAATCGCAGATGAAAGGAAGGAGAGGTGTGGTAAGGTCGTGCCCTACAGAGACAGCATGCTAACTTGAAACAGTTGAAAAAAGTTTGATGGTGATGGTGATGGTGATGATCAATTATAATCGAAATCTGTCGTGGGATGAACGGGAAGAACCCAGCCGTTGACGGTGACCTGCCTATGGCAAGGCGAGAAATGGCAATTAAACCCTCTCGTAAAAGATGTTTGTAAGCCCTGGACCAGGGCTTTTAGCTGCCAAAGATCAAATCAAGTTATAGTTCCGTCAACGTTGACAATATTAGCGATGACCAGATATTGGAGGGGTAAAAATGTGATGAAAAAGGGTGATACGCTTGGAAGATCCGTCTTGAACGCGTTTGACGATGGCTGAGTAAGCAACAGCGACGACCACCCACGCTCAACAAGCCAATTGAGGTCAGAACGTCAGCGCTTCAACTCAATTGTCAACGTAAAAGTCAGCTTGTCATTCTTATTCCCATGCATTTCCACGAACCTGGCGCTAGTCTAGCTGTTAATGCTATTCGTCAATATATTTTGGTTTGCACGGGTTTTGCCAACATTGTTACTCTTGGTTCATGATATCTGGACCGGGAGTGATCTGAACCCGGCCAGCTACAACTATCATATTCCGGATCCTGGTCTGTCTTGGAGTGTATGGTTGAGATCCGATTCGAAGCTAATCACTAGCAAGTACCATCAGAGCTGGTCAGAACCGAACCTGTTGGAACGTGGTGTACGTATCATTTTGACTTGAGGTGCACTGGATTCTATACTTATCACCGTGCGTGAACGTAGCTTCCATATGTTATTAAACGTTATATTAATGCAGTATGCATCTACCAGATTCCGGGTTCCAACCGGCTTCCACTACTACATAAAATCCATTCATCATATTGTGACTTTACATCGATCAAGACCATGTTATTCATTTGTTACACTACTTAGCAGCTACTCAAGGAACAGTTATGGCGGGCTTTGTGAGGACCCTGATGATCCCTAATGCCTAATGCCCTAAGGGTCTGCCCAGATCTAATTTTAGGAGTGGACAGTTTTAGGGCGGGACTCACCTGTAGACATAGTTGGACGATGGGGAAACCTGCCCCTTTTATAATATTGCCCCAGCCTCGCTAATGATGCATACTGCTAGCAGTTAATTACCTTTCATCATGTCTATTTCTCTACTAGTTGTCGTGGACGGGCCTTGATTGCGTCCAATATCTTCCGGGAGGGCAGTTCAGGAACAAGCCTCGAGGTTGGAGTCCTTAACTTGGAACTTCGGGTTTTTTCATGACAAATCCATGAAGCTACCGCTGATTGCAGGGTGATGTCATTGCGCGCTCGAGAAGCTTGCAAGCTTGCAGCTTGATCTGTGGCATGGAAGTTGGTTATAATGGCAATGCGAGTCATACTCGTCAACAATTTTTGTCTTTTGATGCAAAGTTGAAAGATATTCTGCCACCTGGGCTAATTCTGATGCTATTTTGACGGATCTGTAATAATTGTTTCTATAAGCTATAGTACTAGATTACACTTGGCCGATAACGATTCTGACATGAAGAAAGTACTTGTTGTATGTCGGAGGACGGTGAACTGGGAAAGGTCTCCTAGCCAAGTCCCAGGCTCCTTCCCACCGGGGAAGGAGCCTGGCCAAGTCCCCGGGTTGGAAGCAGCCACGTGGACAGGCCAGGACTGATAGTAGCCACGGGAACGTCCGATAGATATGTATAGTTGAACTTAATAAGGTTCAGTGGCTTTATTACGTAACATCACGGCTGGGCTTGTGAATCTAAGTTACAGCTGTCCTCATCGACAATCCTCAAGATCAAGGTGAGAAACGCTGCCGGTCCAAGTTCTGCTCAAATTTATTTCTCTTTGCACCCAGACGCCGCTATGGTCAACCTTCGTTCTCAAAAGCGACTCGCCGCAGCCGTCGCCGGTGTTGGCAAGCGCAAAATCTGGCTCGACCCCGCTGAGCAAGCTGAGATCGGGAATGCCAACTCCCGCTCGCACGTTAAGAAACTCATCAAAGATGGCCGTGTCATCATAAAGCCCACTGTTATTCACTCCCGTGCCCGCACCCGTGACCTTCTTGCCGCCAAGCGCAAGGGTCGTCACACTGGTCCGGGTAAAAGAAAGGGTACTGCTGAGGCTCGTCTTCCCACCAAGGTGCAGTGGATGCGGAGACAGCGGGTTTTGAGACGGTTGTTGAGGAAGTACAGAGAAGCAGGCAAGATCGACAAGCACCTGTGAGTGTGTTGTGTTCCCTCCATATCCTGATCTCGTGTTCTCACGTGGACGGCGTTACAAGATATCACTCCTTGTACCAAAAATCGAAGGGTAACGTCTTCAAGAACAAGCGCGTTCTCATGGAGTACATTCACAAAGCTAAAGCTGAGAAGAACCGTACCAAGGTCCTCAGCGACCAGATGGAGGCTCGCCGTGGGAAGAACAAGGTTAGTTTCCACGTCCTCAAAATTGCATTTGGCACCAACATTTTTAGGCCACTCGCGACCGTCGTGCCAAAAGACTGGCGGAGAAGCGGCAAGCAATTCTTGCGGTGGAGCACGAGGCAGCTGTTCAGGAGTAAAATGGTTCATGTATATTTACGATTTCATTCCGACTTGCTTGACGCTGCACCCTATAGCACTTATGCTATGTTCACATGCCTCTACGATCGCTCACATACTTCACCATGCATTCTATTTCTCCTCATTTTCCCCATCATAAACATGATGAATACGTGCAATGTTCCCTGAGGTCAGATATTGCACCTGATTGACAAGTTGGCATTGAAAATAAAATGTTTGAGCGCACAACCCGCCTTTATGGTGGACAGAAGTGAATCATGTCAACATGACATGGGCAGGATCCAAACACATCCTCTTTACATTCCTCTCGTTGGCCACGGCCTCCACCATCTCCCTTGTGATCCCCACCACACCGTCCAATGTGCTCCCTAAAAGCCCACATTCATTCAATGCAAATGCAGCATCCTCGATGCGTAGATTCGTGGCTGATGCGATCTCTGCAAGGGTGGACCGCACAACGACGTGCGAGGTTGCGCTGCCATCAGGATTAGAGATTGTCAGCACCGTGCGCATTGCTGCAATTGTGTCTAGATTCACATACAGATATGTTGAGTACTGGACGGAATCACATATAGACACAAGTAGACACCCACCATCCAGCCCGTTTGGCGATGAGAATGTAGAATTTGAATCAGGTGTTTCTCCATCCCATCCTTTCGCCCGCTTTTTTCGTGAATTAGCATCCTCAGAGGGAGGAGGCAGCACACCAGTTAGGTCGGGTAGTCGCCCTGAAGACGTAATCGTGGGTCGATCTGGTGGGAGAACTGACAAAAGTCGTCTACACAAAAATGATGAGGATAGTGCATAAGCGAAGAGTTGACAAGTACCTGAAGAAGCGAATGAGCGTAGCCACCCAGTATGTGAGGTAGCTTCTCAAGCCCAAATCTGAAAGGGGTCGTTCAGGTGTACCGATTTTACCAGCGCGGCGGGATACTTCATAACCTGCATAATGTGAGCCGCAGAATTTTGACGGTTTATGAGGCTTGCTCGCACGTACTGAATTCGATCATGAGCATTCCATAGCCCTTGCGCTGATATGGAGGGAGAACGATGATACACGCAAGATTATAGTCATCGTAAGATATTTTTTCCTGCAGGCGGAATAAGCATTCGGGACTCGATGTATACTCGTGGCAAACGAGATACCTTCGAAAAGAATCCAAGAACATGATCTCGTTGTGAATCTGCGTCTGTAAGGATATAGAACAAGACTGGTTCATGTGTTAGTGGGAGCCATTAAGTTGTTCTCGGCTTAAACGCACAGTTGTCACAATCAAAGAACAAAGTTTTGACGTCGATGAACAATTTTCCAAAGAGCGAGAGATTTTGGCAGTAGAGCTGAAGGTCTTGGTAAGTATTCGAGCGAGGGCAGCAATATGTAGAGACCTTGTCCTTGGCGCCGTCGACCTCCCAAATTATGTGCGCACCTCGCTGATAAACCTTTCGTCCTGGTGGATGCCTTCTGTCGCATTGTTTCTTAAGCAAGATATACCTATAAGTTAGCCATAAACACAACAAGATCAGGACGTACTACATGCATTTCCCATGCTGCACCCTCAGCCATGTACTTGAAACAGCGATCACAGACCCATAATATGCTCTTTTCAGCAGATAGGTGTGAGCGAGTAAGCCCGCCGGCCAAGAGGTCAGAGGTGCGCCCGTGTGATCGAACAGTCGCTCTGTTGACACCAGGGATCTTGGACGTCGAAGCTGAACCTCCAGGTAGTCCAGTGCTATCCTCGAGCTCTGAGTCTGTGAGTGGATAAGGTGAGAAATACCTACAACATGATGTGAGTGAGAAGAAGTTTATTATGATACGTGCTACGCACCAGGTCTTGATCCGCCACTGTCCAAAATTGACCTTGTCAAAATTTCTTTGCGCAGTGATCTGTTTATGGTGTTTGATGTCGAACTCTTCCTCGGTCATGAGGGGATCGGGCCGCGTTTCTGGCTCTGTAGGCGTAGGTGAAGGGGTGTCCCTCCTCCTTTTGCGCGCGGATTCGTTAGCAGGTTTGAGGCTAGCACCTGGAATCCATTCGTCTAGGCGTTTGTCAAACCCATCATAGTGGACATACACCTGTCCGTCCGGGCGACGTTGAAGGATGTCCACAAGTTCTGAAACACGTTGTTTGCCTCAGTAGTCAAAGTTGTTGACAGAAAGATGTAGAACGCACGATCTGCACCATTCTTGTTAACAATATAGCTTGTGTTCTGCGATCGTGCGGATGTGCTAGTTGATTCTGTCATCAAATTGGGCGAGGGTGTGCAAGGTTGAAGTAGTAAAGTAGCATATGCTAGCAGCTACAGGCGCTCCGGCTCTGCGAGTCAACCTATTATGTCGTGATTCATTTCACCAACCTTGCAAGTTTGCGACCAATTTCAACCAGCTATTATACGTACATCTTGCCATTAGGAGCTGCTAAGCGACTTGTCTATATGCCCATTAGTTAGTTGCTCCGAGTCAGCACACACTCAGGAGACCCTAGCTGATTTCTACCAGTACTCATTTCAAAGTTATCGCACGGCACGCTCCAAATTTCGATCGGAAGATTCCAGACCCACGTACGCTTGCACTGGCATTCGCCGTACGGGTATCAGCTGTCTCATGTCACTACAGCTTCTATAGGCACAAAGTCACGAGTACATCTGTGCGGGTATCCACTGTCAACTTGGATGGGCCTGATAATCCTTTCTTCTTTACACACAAACCTCATCTTTCTCGCCTCCACGACGCTCTATCAAGAAATTGTTGTTATTCGGTTGACCAACGCAGAGTCGTTTTTGGAGCACACCTAGCTGCTACACAGCGACCTGATACAACTGAATAGAAATGACGCCTCAAGTTCAACATGACGGAGCTAGTATCGTAAATATCATGTCACTCTTTGTCACTCTCCTCTGTGCTTCTCACGTCTATGCATCCTGCACGTACTCGTGAGTTACTCCCCCAAAAATTCTTTTTATTTCTTGTCTCAGATAAAATCTAGGGCGGATTCGAATGACTGTACTCCATTCCCCACGTCGACTATCGTCGGTCTTGCTATTGGCGGAAGTAAGTATGATTTTTTAGAATATTTGGTATTAACTCAACTGCAGCAGTTATTCTCTTGGCCATTGTTATTTTTGGCAGGATTCTTCGCCGGCGAAGACTCCAACGTGTTGCACAGGCAACCTTCCTATATGGAACACCCAGTAACAGCTATGGCAGGCCACAATCAAATGTATATCATCCATACCCCACTCAATCACAATGTCCTCCTGGGCTACAGTCATCAAGACCTATCCCCGGTCAAATGAATTCGTTGAACCGAAATGGAATGCCCGTAGCACCCTCATTTCCACAACTATCCAAGCCATCTCCAACGGCACATTCTGCACGCATGCGATCTCCAACCATGCCTTCTCCAACCCACTACTCAAATTATTCAAACCAGACCGCACACATTTCACCTCCCTCTTCCCCAAATTCAGCCCGTTTACCACCCCCTGGGTTTCCCCTCTCTCCTTCTCCCCCTTCGACACATTCACGAGTCTCTGCTGATACATCTACTGTCCAAGCACCGTCCATTAGGGTCACTTCAGCACACACTCCTCCCGTCAGGCACTCATCACCTCCTGAGAATGTGGAGATGCGTACGTTGACCGTGCAGACGGAAGTCGCGAATGATGAACCTCCACCAGCTTACACCCCGATTTAACAGTATGCATCATCTTAGGATTTCGTACGAGATACCCGATTTTATTCAGGAGCTTATCACAACTTCATGGAAAGGGTGCGATTGTCCAATTGATCTTTCTGTATTCTCTCATTGTTTCTCGACAACTTGATATTGCTTCACTACGCTCACCCGCTAGAGCTTACTTGTCTTTGGAGTCTAGGCATATCTGTTACATACGATAGGTCATGAAATTTTGAGACTTCAAAGCTTCAGGCTTAGGCTTAAGGAGCAAGGCAGTCAGTTGTCTATGTAACCACTAATTTCCTCGAGACATCCATCTTGAGGAAACGACCAAGAATCTTGCTTTCATTTTGTATACCTTCGGGAAACTAGCTACGAGGCGTCCTGCATGTTGACATGTATTCATAAGAAACCGGCATTTCCAATTCCAATTCACACACTTAATGCTCATTGGAAGTTCGGTACTTGGCACTTGCACATCACCATGCCTGCTATCGACACACAGCCAGCTCCAATTTCTTCTCCCGCTCGCAGTACATCGAAGTCCATCACTTCTCAATACTCTCAACTAGCCCCAAGGCTCGCTGTCGAATCTTTCGACCTCTCACCCTTTTCAGTACTAAAATGATTGCTTTCCGCAGTCTGAGTTGCACGCTAACTACCTTTGACGTAGGAGTCATTCACTGGTCTTCTTGACGACGATATTGCAACATCCCTGTTGTTTCCGGACCCTCCGGAAACTCAGAAACAAGCGGGCATGGTCTCGGACCTGAGTTATGACGTCGAGGTTCATCATCTCCTTTGGGTATCAGAATCGCTCTGACACCTAAACTCTAGTTTAAGGATATTGTTGATCTCGCTCCTCGTTTTAGGGATGGAGAAATTGAGGTGCAGTGTCTCTTATGCCGATGAGCGTCCGAGGTACTGATGATCGATGTTCTTTGTAGGAGGTGATGGTCATTTCACCGAAACCAAGACTCATCCATTCCTCCAGGCAAGGCGTGAAGGCCGGTGATGTGGGTTTTGTGAACATTGATTTAAGTCTACGCTCAGACATAGCCATGCAGTTCCGACTACTCTACACACTGTTCAAAGATTCCATCTCATCGACGCATCTATGCCGAAAACGTGACGACCTCAAATTCTATGCTATACGAATTTTGAACAAGGAGCGCCTTCAAATTCGTAGTCCTCATGATCACATCCAACTTCAAATGGAAATTTGCCAGGAAATTCGCGAACTGCGGTCTTCTTTCCTCTCGCCATTCATCTGGATCCACGAGGATGGCCTTGAAATTCATTCCATCGCGGTATACTTTACTTTTACTCTTGCGCTCCAGGTGCCAACAGTTTGAACCAGGAGTTTTACCCTAATGGTAGTCTCCAGGATTTGCTCGACCGCGACACGAGCCTCAGCGAAAGCCACGCCCTGCGCATAGCTTGCGAAATAGTAAGCCAATCCAAGTGACGCAATTAAATATGCTTACCTGCAATAGGTAGAGGCGCTGGACACGCTTCATACTGCTGGCATAATTCATCGCGATCTGGCACCATGTAATATCATGTTCGACACGTCAGAACATGTGGTTATTACGGGGTTTGGTCAAGCATGCAGACCTGATTCAGCAGCCTCTTTCCCGTTGCCTGATACTGGTTTGTATTGTGCTCCTGAACTCATCCTAGGGTGGGCGCATGATTTTAGTGTTGACTGTTGGAGCTTTGGCCTGCTGATATACATGATGCTTTTCGGATCTGTGAGTTTACCGCATCAATTTCTCCATTTATTTACGCGTTTTAGCACCCATACGTTGCCGACAACGACAATGACAATGCTGCCATTCTGCAAACCAAGGTCCTTCACTGCCCGCTGATAATTCCCCAGACAGTGTCAGTATCATGGGCAGCGCAAGATCTTTTGGTCAAAGTGAGTTTTCCGATTATGTTAACGCGCGCGCTGGCTGATGCACAGTATCTGTGTTAGTGTTTGGAGCGCAATGCAGCCCTTCGCTTGGACATCAAACAGATTAGGGCGCATACATACTTCTGCACTGTGTGAGTTTTACAACTCTGGGCGCTACCGCATTGTCGAAACTTGACGTAGGCATTGGAACAACGTGACCAACAGGGTTGGCAAGGGTTTGGATACAAATTTGCGAGTGCTTGCCTGCTAAACTGACATTCACTGTAGCACCCCTCGGATACGATGATGAGAATCCTGATGTCAACATACGACATTCTGAAGATAATATGACTGTTTCAGATGCAAAGAAAGTGGCGGTCCTTACAGAAGATGAACCTCTGACCTTGGCCGAAGAAAGAATCGTGGATTCATTCACCCCCGTGCCACAACGAATAGCAAAACCCAAAACTGGATCTCTCAACGCGCAAAAAGATGTTATTCTCAAAACACAAAGACGTATCTCTTCACAAAGCACTCGCCTAGAAATTGTACCTGAAGCTTCTGACGAAGAGGAATCCCTGGACGTAGGTCAAGTGGAGTCGAGCGCGCAAGATTATGTACGACGTTTCAGGCAGCGCTCTGCAGTCATGGACCTAGGACACACTCCAGCAGGTCCATTATCATTGTGGGATGCTCTTGATTTGGAGATCAACTCCGTTTCCTCGCACTACTCTAACCGGAGCACAACCAGTCGTGAGGAGCCACCAGAGAACTTTGGTACACTGCGAAAAAGTCGGTCGGTAACCTTTCAAGATCGTGCTCGGTCCACCCTATCTATCGCAAGCACTGTCCCTTCCACCAAATTGCATGCCCAAAATAAGCTTCGCAAGAGGATGCGTTCTGCAAGCACCCCTACACTTGGGTCTCCTCACCTTGATCCTTTGCTCAAGAAACTTCCCCTTGGCGTCAAACAGATTGGCTACGGCATCGGTTTCAGTCCCCCTATGGAACCCCTTTCTTCTCGCTCGAAATCGGTTTATCGATCCGCTATCCGCGCATGTCAAAAGCTGGCGCCAGTCATACGTCGCAAAATCTCTAGAAAGACTTTATCTAAACGCAAGACATCCTCGCCGACAGACTCAAGTAGTGCCCATGACGCGACTGTAGTAATGCGTGGGCTCTATGGGCAAACCTGGACACTTGGTCTGGAGTCCCTGCCACCTTCTGCGGCTACAGACACACTCTCGGCCACAACCAACGACTCGGAAGGCCCAGTGACACCAGAGACTCCGTTCTTTGCCCAGACAGTGGGAATAGTGCACCATGAGTTATCCACCCTTCGTTTGGTACCGTCCTCGGGTCTTCAGTCTTTTTTATGATTCTTTTTCCAGCCTCACAATCACGCCGCATTTTATTGATATCGATGTTCCGCTCAATTTTGTCCTTTGATCAGCTCCCTTATCCAATCGCAGGACTTTGTCATAAAATGGATGTCTTAACACTCGCCTGTGCATTATTGTTGTTGTAATATGCATGTAATTCTTTGGGCTTTTTGTACATGACAGTGTTAGATCCAATAAGTGGAACGTAGACAGCAAGAACTCTCCGCTCCTTTTCGGGAATTACCCGGCGGCAAGTTGCAAGAAAAGAAATTCGGGAAATGTGCTCGACCAGCGTTTACTTTGACAACGGTTAACAGTATCATGCATGCAGGTCAATGACTAACTGTGGACTTCTTTCAGGCAGCCACCAAAGGGGTGACAATAGGTGCTATCGCGACCAATGGAGAAAGTGACTCGCCATTGGTGGTGCTCGGTAGTGATCAGTCCTTTTAGAACAATGGTTCAATTGTAAGCTACGCCATCGCCAACCCATTGTATTTCGTCAAAGCTAAAAGGACTTAGCAGTGGACCATTTCTCTGGCATGGAAATGCGAAGTTACCACACAATCCACACCGGCTGGGTATATATGAAGAGTCTGAGTTGGTTTTGCAGAGACAACTTGGTATACAGGCATTCACGATAACTTCAAGGCAGTCCTCCAATTTCTAATTTCCCTGACTCACCTCAGATATGTACACAACCCCCAAGAAGGATCCTCGCAGTATCATGGGGACCGACCGGAGGCCAAACCCACTACGCTATGTAAATCTCAAGGAGTGGGACGATGGTGCATACGGTGATATATCATTCCAAGAATCCCAACCGGATACCCTCGAGGAGCCATGGCCATATAGATTCCAGGTACCATTGTATTTCTGAAACAACTCCTTTGTTCCTTTAATGACCTGATTACCAGAGTGGCGACAGCGTGTGGATTCACTCCACAGGTTATGACTGGTATCAAGGGAAAATTTCTGGCCTGCCTAAGGCTGCCCAGACGAAGATGGTGAATCTCTTGATACAATTGTCGGACTGCCCCATTGATTTGTTTTGTGACTGGCAGGGTGATGGACTTTTTTGGCCTGTCACCTATAATCGTAATAAGCGCAGATATGCAGCACCTCTCAATGGCGAATTGAAGCCTGATACTCCGCCTATAAGGAAGATGTTGGAGGAGGCGGGCATTTTGTAGTAAGGGGCTAGCACCTACTCAAGGACTCGATGATTCTACACCGTATCAGTAGTATTTATGTTCTATGTACATATATGATGACCGGCATTGCATTGTAATCTATTTATCGACACTGTAGTATTTTGTTGTTCTTCCTTCAAAGAGTCGTTCTCGGCTCTGTATTCAGTAACCAGTTGGAGTTGTGACGTGCGTGACTGAAATCTGTAAGTATTCTACTCAAAGCGCGTTGTGTGGCTCCTGTCTGCCAGCTTCCACCACATTAAGATCTTGATCCACGACTTCAACACACGGCCACCATGACGAAGACGTATCTTATGAACAGCCTGATTGAGAAAGTTAGTACCTTAAAGTTTACTCACTGGAATCAACTGAGTTCTTTGCAATCTCGTGTACTATAGATGCAATCTCCGGACCAGGACTTTCGGTGCGTGAGCTTTCCCAAACATACATCTTCGTGTTTTTTGAAGTACTCGATAGATTTATGGGTCTGAACGATCTGATGAGCGAGATCAAACAAGATCCAGCCAGCTTCATCGGAGACGAGCCTACCGAGACAAAGGTCCTCAAACAGGTTCTTTCCTTAGTAGAAGACAGGATTTCGGAAGTCAAGAATCAGGCTGTCAAGTGGTACGGCCCACATCTAACCTGTCTCATTCTTGGGACTTATAACTTCTATGTTTTCCTGTGCATTTAGTCTAGGTCAATTGATCAAGATCATCCGCGAAACGCAGATGGAACTCGTGGTTGATAGCTTAATCAACTTCTCAGTAGGAAAGGACGATGAACTGCGTGATATCTCTGGCTTGGGTAGGTCATCGAGATCGTTAACACATCTCATATCCTAATAACAAATATACAGCATTGAAAACGATTACTTCCGAGTTGCCACTGGAAGGCAAAATTACTCCCAGAGCATGCGCAAAGCTCGCACCAAAGCTTCTACAGCAAGTTTCGAATGTGAGTTGTTTCTTTCAATATCGGTCCTGCTCTTGACATGGCCACTTGTAGACGGAAACCCCACCGGAGACTTTGATCGAGACATTATCAACGCTATCTATACTCATCACTCGTTTCCCTGCTCACGTATCTGATCCAGCCCTGACGCCGCACCCTCTGCCTGCCATAGCTCCGCTTCTTTCACACTCTCGTCCTGCTGTACGCAAACGTGCTATTCTGACGCTCTCACAATATGTCCCTGTAGCTCCTACTGCACTCGTCAACGATCTATTGCAGAACCACATTCTCCCATTCCTTGCACCTGACGCTAACCTCGAAAAACAGCGCACGACTGTGCATCTGGTTGCTGCTATCATACGGCAGGCACCGCAGCAGCTGACATCAGTGTACAATGACATCATACCTGGAGTCATCAAAGCCGTCCAGAGGGACGATGATGAACTTCGTGAAGGTTGTCTTCAGGTTCGCCAATATTTCTTCCACATCAACACTGTCATGCCAATCACTCATGTTCGATCAGGCTCTTGAGACGTTACTCTTGAGGTCTCCGACAGAAGCGGCACCGTTCCTAAGCTCGATAGTACAGATAGGAAGCCAGTTCATCAAATATGACCCAGTGAGTTATGAATTCATAACTTTGTATGGTTAGATCCCATCTGTCCACAGAACTATGCTGGACCGGATGACGGTGAGGACGAAGAGATGGCAGATGCAGATGATGACGACGACGATGCCGATATTGATGAGTGAGACATGATTTGTTTTATTTTCTTATTTTGCTCACAATGCACATATAGGTACTCTGACGATGAAGACACATCGTACAAGATCCGGCGTGCTTCTACCAAACTTCTAGCTGGTGTGATCACTACTCGCCCCGAGCTTCTGACCTCACTGTACAAAGAGGTGTCGCCTGTGCTAATATCGAGGTTTGGTGACAGGGAGAAAACTGTTCGGCTCGAAGTGTGGGCAACTTATGGTGTTCTACTGAACCAGACTAGCATGTACGGCGGCCTGCCACAATCTCAAGAGAATGATTCCGCCATTAGGAAGAGGAAAAGAGACAGCGAAGAGAGAATGGATGTCGAGGAAACGCCACATACCCTTCTGCGCTCACAGGTTTCTTCATTATCCAAGGCCTTGCTCCAGCAACTCAAGTCCCCGAAGACTCCACCACCGACGCTTCAAGCAGGCTTCCAGCTTCTGTACGCTTTGCTTGGCGTTCTTCCTGGTTGTCTTTCCAACCAAATTATACCCATTGCCGCGATCTCTCAATCTGTATTGATTCAGTCGCCAGCGACCTCAACTTCGGCCCTCCACCTTACATGTCTCTCCTTCATCGCATTGTATTTCGCGACGCATGCTCCCGGGACATTTTCTATGTCACTTCCTACTCTGACACCTGTTCTTTTGAAGTCAGCTGGAGAGAAACACCCTCGAGTTGCTTCAGAAGCCTTCCGTGTCTTTTCTGCTTTACTCAATGCCACGAGGCCCGTAAAGAATGGCGAATGGGCAGAGCGTTTGTATGACCAAGCTTTTCAGCGTCTCAGCATTCACGACACGGACGCCGAGGTTCGCGGATGCGCTGAGGACTGTATTGCAGACCTATGGATTTGCGCTCCTGATGTCATCAAACCGAAAGGCGGCAAGGAATGGCAAGCCATATGTCGGACCACGGGTAATACAGGAGGAGCTGTTAGAGTGGTCACGAAAGTTGCGAGGGACGTGGAAATGAGTGATGACTGGGTGAACTGTTGCGTTGAATGGATCATGGGTCTACTAAAGAAAAGTGAGAGGGGAGGAAAACCAGAGATATTTATCGCCCTCGATACTCTTTTAAAAAGGTCAGTTCATCTCCTGGAGATCTGGAAGCAACCTCATTTTGTCCAGATATTCATCTGGCGTTCCCACCGATCTGCCACCTACTTTGGTCCCCCAGATCAAACCATACATATCGACAACAGACATTTCCTTACTGTCTCATGCATTGACTATCATTACAGTGTTACTCGAGTTATCTCCGATTGCGACTTTCCCTGAAGTTGAGCGTGAGCTCCTTGGTGATATCTATCAGATTGCACATTCGCCTCTTGTCTCAGGAGCTGCTCTCGATTCACTTCTGATGTTCTTCTCTTTGTTGGTGCAGGCTGATAGCCAAATTGCAACCCACGTTGTTCCTAGCTTGGCGACATCAGCGGAAAAGGCCAACAAGTCAGACGCCAATTTAGCCAATGTCGCTAAATGCATTGGCCAAGTTGTCCAGAGCGCTCAGGGAGTGGCAGCAGGAACAATCGCGGTCTATTCCAAGTATATGAAGGTCAGCCCATATACAGTATATTAGCGCATTTCTAACATTGCGCTGCTTCTAGAAATCTTCAAAGTCAAAATCCGCCACTTCGGTTGTGGTGTTAAGTCTGCTAATTGTTGGAGAGCTTGGCCGTTTCATGTGTGTCATATTCTCACTATGTGCGTTCTATCGATAACCCCGTCGCAGTGATATGTCGAAGCAACAAGATACGTTTAGTAGTACCATCGAACATTTCGCAGCAGAAGAAGAGGAGATTCGTGCTGCTGCCGCATTCGCTGCTGGTAAGTGAATTATACACATTGACTGAGTATATGAATTGACGTACCTAGGAAATATTGCTATCGGAAATCTTCATCAATTCTTGCCTGCAATCCTCAGGATTGCAGAGAGTGATCCGCATAAGAAGCTGTTGTCGCTGCATGCATTGAAGGAGGTCTGAAATTTAGTCTTTGTGACAATTTGTTTTCTGAGAGTCAGTCTAGGTCGTCACGCATTGCTCGCATGGACAGCTCGAAGGTGTTGCAGAGCAGCTCTGGGCACCCCTTTTTCAATACTCGGAGGATGCGGAGGACAGTACACGCAATGTTGCCGCTGCCTGTCTGGGCAAACTTACTACAACACATCCCACACGATATCTCCCACAACTTCACTCTCGCATCCATGACGAGAACCCTGCAGCGCGCGCCACTGTCGTATCTGCTATCCGTCATACGCTTGCGGAGTCGTCGCCATCATATGACGAGCTTTTGGCATCGCTCATCATGGACTTCTTGGATTTAATACACGATAAAGATTTGGTGTGCTGGTTGTTTTAATAAATTTGAATTTCCTGATACAAATTCCTCAGAATGTCCGTCGTCTTGCGTTGTCCGCTCTCAACTCTGCGGCAAGAACGAAGCCCCACCTCATACGTGATCACCTTCCAACTCTACTGCCGAGCCTCTATGCGGAGATGAAAGTGAATCCCGATCTCATTCGTACGGTCCAAATGGGGCCCTGGACACACAAAGTCGATGACGGACTCGACGCGCGCAAGACCGCATGGGAGACACTGTACACCCTTGTAAGCTTTTGCCATACACGTGCCCTCCCCTCACTCATACACTCCTAGCTCGATACCTGCCTCGCCAAACTTGACCTATCGATCTTCCTCTCGCACTTGCTTGCAGCCATCAGCGATCCGTCGGACGAGATCAAAGTGATTGGGCACATGCTCCTCGCGCGGCTGTCAGCATCTCCGACAACGTCCATTGCACTTGCGCAGCGCCTCGACGAACTTACGCCCTGTCTTGAATCGACGATGCGCGGCACAGCTGTCACTAAAGACACGGTGAAACAGGACATCGAACGCGCGGCGGAGCTACGGAGAAGCACGATGCGCGCTGTCGCTGCCCTCAGCAAAATCGATAGTGCGGGTAGCGCGCCCAAGTTCGATGCCTTTGTGGAGGAATCACGAAAGAATGAGCAATGGGGCCTGGAATTCAGGGAGTTACTTGGACACTGAAGGATTTCACTATGCAGGCAGTGTAGGCTATATCTGTTTTCCAATGCTCTCGTAGGCAAAGCGCAAACCGTTCTTGTGATTAGGATATCTGTTACGTCTCCAAGTCCGTGATGTGGTTAGTTACTTCTACATACCAGTACTTACAATCCTGCGTCTAGAGCGGCCTTTGTTGCATCAAAATCACCCAATAAAAATGCGACGGGCACAGATATCTATGACACAACCAATCCTTTCATCTTCTTCCAAATGAGAGCCGCAGCCCCCTTTCTCTCTCTTGTGGCACCCCCTGCTCCGAGAACGCTCTTGTTTTCAATCGCCCGACGTGAAAGGTAGGGCATGACCTAGACATGACAACGTGGTCAGAATAATCCTTAAAACTACAACCAAGGTTCAAAAGACTTCATGTATCGATGCAGAAAGGCCAATCTCGGAGGGAATAAAGTGAGACTCACCTGCACCAGTGCGCCGAACGGGACATACTTGATCACACACGGCCTTTCACACCGCGTCCGCCCGATGAGGTAATTCGTCAGCGCATCTGACATCCCTGCATATCGTACAATGAGTTCTTGCTACATTAGACGCAAAGAAAGCTAAACGTGCCATACAGCTGCCCAAATGCAATCCTCTCCCCAACTTCAAGCGGTATCCTCACTACGTCCTCTTGCACTTCATTGACGCCAACACGCTCGACCACTCCCAGGCCCTTCTTGACAATTTCCTCGAGGATGGACTCGCAAGAGGTCCAGTTATGCGTAGCAAAAAATACACCAATGCTTGGTGCACCGAATCGGCCAGACCGGTGGACGTCCTGGGAAATTACATTGATCAACACGGTTGCGCAGTCATGATAGCACTGGTCCGTCGCATTTTTCGAGGGTTGAACAGGGGGCTCAGGGTCGGGGGAAATGGAGAGCGAGCGTGGGGATCCGACTGCAGAATCAGCTGAACGAGCCAGATGATGGGCAACAACCTCATATGGGTGATAAGCTCCCCGGACAAGTTTCACCCCAAGTGCATATCCTCTGGCATGGGCCAGCGCTAGGGAGTGCGTGAGGTGCGCAGGCATGCTGTAATTTAAGCATGAGCACACTTAAGCATTTGCGTAGATCTGAGTGCTGACCGTCGTAAATATGTTTGATATGTCACATACACGAGAGGCCGCACTCTGTCATCCACAGATTTTCTCGCGGATGAAGATGTCCAAGAGGAGATGTCCCACCATGTCCGCAGGAAGCCATTGGAGGGGAGCTTGTTGAATCGTTCCATCAATGCGTGTCCAAATGCATCGATGGCAGGTTGATACCAACTATAATATGAAGAGATGAGTAAATGTGTAAGATCTAACAAGCAGCCGATAAACTTCAGACACACCTATACTCTGCATCAATGAACACTCTTACTCCACGTTCTTCAGCACGTGTACAAATCTGCACAAGGTCGCTGTATAGCTCTTTCAGGTCATGGATGTCAGATTCCGTTAGTGTTCCTGTTAATGCAGAGGAATGCAAGATAGAAAGATCAGATGGTGAAGGAGTCCCTGGAAAAAGTACCGGCGGTTCAAGCTGTGCTCGAGTATTTGTGAGGTGTGTTGACAGGTTGATTAAGGATTGGGCATTTGGAAGCATGGCAGTCTGGGCAACCGTGAGTATCGCGCTCCTCCTAATGTACAATACTGACAACTCACAAGCTTCACAGAAACCCAAGTCCGCCTCCCTATGTGTCCATCCTGAAATGCGTCCCTTCCATCCTCGAAATCGGCAGAGGCGTTGATACTCCTTATAATCTCCTCTATGATACGCTTGTGTACGGGCTGCCCTTCCATATTCGTCTGACCCGTCACCTCCTTCTGGTCGACTTCAACGGCATAAGCAAAGAGAGCACCTTTGTTCTCTGCACGGAGGGACGTAAGGAGTGGTAGTGCACCATTGGCTGTGTCTGCACCGACAAACTGCCGACTTGGTTATGGCTTCGAATTAGATAACAAGAAATAGATTATATGTACCTGATGGAAGAAAGTAGCTCGCACGAAACTCTCGACTATCTTACTCACTCCAGGAATACTGAACAAGGTGTCCAATATTGTCGGTGCCGCATCAACGAGGGGAGCGATGCTGCATGTCCCGTACACGATATATGCACGCAACAGATCCGACAGTGTGCGTGTGTCAAAAGGCGCCGGTTCGATATTTGAAACATCGTTGTAGAATACGTAGCCCAGCACGGAGGTAGTCAATGCGCTGGAAAGCACTAGCACGCGTCCCAGTCGTCTGAGACGTGGAGGTGGAGCAGTGGAGAAAGTTCGAGCGCGAACAAAGAGACGCAATGCACCACTACGAGTGATCAAGTTCATGGTTGTAGACGAATAAGAGACGTGCTTGAGGTTGATCCGGAAATAAAGCTGAGGCTAGCTCCGTCCGATTAACATACACACACGTACGGACATTGCAGGAACCCGAGGAACGCTAATCATATGAACGGGGTCACGGTATGCCAGACATCCGGAGCAAAATTATCGCGCGCCCCGGAACGTTCACTGATAGAGTCATTGAACATGGATTTGTGTCATGTTTACATATGGACACTTTTCGTAGCCTAGTAGCTCACATTCATAAGTACTCGGGAAGCGCCGACTTCCGAGTCTTTGTCAGCACAAACCTTGTTCTAGACCAGACTTAGTACAGCGTGGTGCACGAATAGTATATACTTCTACAAGCAGGCAAGCGACCATATCTACACTCATGAGCAATGTAAGTCCTTGGTCAGTCAATAAACTACCATCAACGCGCCCTCAATATGGGCAGTCGCGTCCTCATACACGACAGACAAGCGCATCCCGGCGACCCTGGACTGCCCAGTCACGCCCTGGGACGGCGCGCCCCCAGACCGCCGCTTCCACTATGCACGATGCCAGCTTTGTTATCGCCCTCATCGAAAGTCGAGGCATTGCGCACGAAGTAGGTATGGCCGCTCTCGACAAAGATACAGGTAGAGTTATGCTCATTCAAGTAAGGGCTCATTTCCTACTATTTCGCGGCAACTAATACATGCCAATTAGCTCTCGGACTGCTCTACGTATGTTAAGACTCTACACCAGATGCATGTGCACATGCCATGCATGATCCTAGTTCCCGATACGTTCCTATCCTCTGCAAACATGAACCTCACTCCTTCTGCGTCTGCCACGCGGGGAGCTTCATCATTGTCGGTACAGTTCATCAGGGAGGAGTTTCCTCAAGTCCCCATCGAACCGGTAGCAAGAAAATACTGGAATGATAGCGCTGGTCAGCCGACAACACATTTTCACCCGCATATATGCGCTTAGCTATCATCTAGGCTATCGGTTTATCACTCAATTCTGTGTTGAAGACGATGAGCGTGCGGCCACACTGGTCTCCGTGACAGACAAGTCAGAATATGCACGTATTTCCGCGTTTACTCTTCTAATTGCTAGCGTGCAGGTACTATACACTCTCAGCTGCATGTGCTCTTTTCAAATTTGTAGAAACTCGCCTCAACACCCGCTTTTCTGCATGTTCTCTTCGTATACGTTATATCCCTGTCGAGGGAACGATGATGATAGACCCCGAAACCGTTAGAAATTTGGAGCTGATCAACAACCAGACCCGCAAGAAATCCACGCATTCTCTCTTTGGGTATCTGGCATCATTTCTCCGATCGGTCGTGATTTGACATGCTTCAGGGTGCTTAACCATACCTGCACTGCAATGGCCACACGACTCTTGCGAGCGAATATATTGGCACCTCTAACAGGTAAGTGCTTGCGCTATAGAACCCCAGTGAGTTGATTCCACATACCCCGTCTGTAGCCCAAAGTGCCTTGGATGCCCGCCTAGACGCTGTGGAAGGTCCGATATTGGCAAATCTTTGCTGCAAGTACTAACCTCTACATTACAATAGAGCTGATTCACAGCGAGGATAAATTTAATGAGATCAAAGATGCCTTGAAAGTCTTGAACAAGATGGACTTCGACAAGCTCATCTCATCGGTGAGCCTTACATAATGGTTTGGACTTGAACATAACTCCAAGCCTATAGCTTGGGTTTTCGGAAGTACGGCCAACAACAACAGCAAAAGGAGCTTTTTCTCGCGTGTCACAAATACTCAGCTTGCGCATTGCTATTCGAAGCCTTCCATTTTTGCAGAGGGCTTTGAATGGATGCAAGTCCCAGCTACTACTGATAATATATGACGTGAGCCCCGCACTGCGGTTTCGAATCTGCAACTTCTCATACTGCAACATGAATATAGATCCTTTCTGACGAACGGTTGACCAAGATCGAGGAGCTCATCGCCGAAAACCTCAATGATGACGCAGGGGCAGTCAAGGTAATTGAAGTATGCTGTTGCCAATGCTGTCTAAATAACCTTTTGCTAGGGAGGGATCGGCGCAATTAACGCAAGAGTATACGCAGTTAAGGTACATTAACAAATACTCGCTTTCTACCAGTTGGTTCATTGTCGCAGGCGAACCGCAACCGTCTCTTGGATGTTGCTCGCGAAACTTTCAAAGAAAATGTTGCAGACATATACCAGCTCAACCACGCCCTAAGCGAACGGCACTCCCTACCCCTTACTCTCATTTACCAAGAAAGTGGTTTTGTGTTTGCTCTCAAAAAGGATGAACTTGAGGATGAGCTGCCAAAGGGATTCATTAATGTGTCTGCGCAACGGGGTCGTTGGCTGTTCTCAAGCATTGATCTGGTGAGGTTCAACAGAAAGTGCAACATATAGTCTAACATCAGATGATAGAAAAAGATGAACGCTCGGATGAAAGATTCATTAGAGGAGACGCTGGTCTTAAGCGACAAGTACGTTTTCATTGTGACTCTATCGTCATTTGAGATTAATAATATGCAAAGGATTGTCCGGGATGTCGTAGGGCAGATTATAGCGTTTTCAGGAGTCCTCTATTCTGCTTCAGAAGCGGTAATGACATTTCCATTTGAAGCTTACGTTTCTCAATGCCAGTTCAGGTTGCAACCATCGATTTGCTGTGGTCTTTTGCTCATGTCTCCATCAGTCAGTCATCTCAATCATTGCGTTTACCTCACTCTAACGAAACCTTTATTAGTGCGAAGCTATGGTACAGGGTGCAAGCTCCTCTCAAAGAATGCCAACAGACTTTTTTCTTAGTACGTCCCGAGTTTACTGATACACTGGCGATCAAGAATGGTCGTCATCCCGTCCTTGAGACCGTTCAATCTGCTGGAATGGTTGTTTCAAACGATATATATTGCAGCGACGCTGCCCACTTTCACATTGTTCATGGGCCAAAGTGAGTTTCATAAATGATTCATTATCTGAATGTACAGACGTCCATACTCTTCAACAGCATGTCAGGTACGATGTGCGTCTGCACCCGCCCCACTGATCATTCTCAGCGTCCTCTCAAGGCAAAAGCACATATCTGCGTCAAACAGGCCTTCTTACTGTGATGGCAATGGTCGGTTGTTTTGTACCTGCTGAGTATGCAAGCTTTCGGTGAGTCATGCGTGTTGAATTTAATCGTGATGCACTCATTCTCTCTAGCCTGCATGACGCCTTACTTACTCGGCTCTCCAATGACGACGATATAGAGAAGAGCCTCAGCACGTTTGCAAATGAAATGACATCTTCTGCTATGATCCTAGGTTTTGGTGTGTAGATGAGTCTGTCATTCATACTGAACTCCTTCTAGGCATTGCGACCCCAAGAACACTGGTACTCGTTGACGAATTGGGTCGAGGGACATCTCCTATCGAGGGTCTTGGTATAGCACATGCTATTGCAGAGGAACTCATCAGATTAAAAGTAAGCACATCGCTCGTGTTTTATTTTTACTCTTACGAGAACCTCAGTGTTTTGTTCTCTTCGCTACGTGAGCACGCGACTACTAGGTTGACTTGCGCGTTAACACGATAGCCAGCCATTTTCACGAGCTATCAACCACTCTTTCTCGTCAGCCTGCTGTGGTGAAGTGAGTGGTGTTCCTGTTTTGACCGGTGACGCATGACGACCTTGTACAGTTTGCATCTATCTGTTCAGGTGCTTTCAAATTCCTCTCGATTATACCTTCTTTACAGATTGCCGTCCAGCGTTCACGTCCATCGGCCTCTCATATCGGCCTGATATTTCAATACAAGTCAACTCCATATTATTATAATGCACGGTGCCCAGCTGATGACACAATTATAGGATCCTTGATGGAGTTCCGGAAAACACAGGTCACTATGGTGAGTCGCAGACAACAGCCAGATAGAGAAGGCATCTGGACCAGCCCCGATCAGGACTAGAACTAGCCAAATTAGCTGACCTCCCCGACGACGTGCTCACTGAAGCGAAACGAGTGTCTGAAATCATTACTGAAAAAAACCAACGGTGCGAAGAGGAAAGTCACATAAACGTCTTGACCATTCGCAGGCGTGCACTTTTGAAGGTATCACCAATCAGCTTCCTGAACATTGCTGGTCCTGAATGTTTCATATTTCCTCAGCTTCATACGCAGTTGAACCAGGCGTTAGATCACTCTTCGCTTCCTGAGGAGGAACTGGTCGCATATCTGGCACGACTGCAGAGGGATTTCATGAAGACTCTAAAAGACACTCTTTAACAATCGAGATCATTGACTTGACAATACAAATGAAACACCAACAAGCCCTTACCTGTTGAAGCTTGAAGAGACGAAACGAAGACACTCGACGAGAACGCCCCCAGACACTATTCAAAGGTCCACTTTCCTGCAGATGCTCTCGCTGTGTTAGACCAGTCATGTTCTTACGAGCTTCTAAAATAATAGATTTGAAGTTAACACTCGCGTGTAATGTGCGATCGATTGATCAAATGATCATAAATCTGAAATTGTCGACTTCATGGTGAATACCAACTTTCAAAATTTCACATCTCGTCGATGTAAATCAGTAGTACCATTATGAAACATTGTCACATTGAGGAGGACGCGAATTCACCCACCAGCAGGCAAGTAAGAGAAGGAGACGAAGTTCTGATCGACAGATCTATGACTCATGCACATGAGTCTCTTCTCTAAATCTAAGATGGCACGCATGGTATGTGTGCGGAATTCGCATACATGCAAATACTAAACGATGACATGTTGGAGAGGTCTGACACCCACTACACCATACAGATAAGATGCGTGCGTTCATGATCCTATCCGAAGTACTCTTCGCATTACGGAATCGCCGTCGTTCCTCCTGAATAATGGCAGAACGGGCACTGTCTAAAAAGCTGCGATGAAGGTTGACCAACAAATTGTTCGAGGAATTTATACCATTGCTTGTTTGTATTTGTGTACTCCAGGTACCCATAGCGTGCCTGGGAGTTTAGCCAAGTTTCGACAATATTCGCTAGCAGTGCTAATTATGCCGGCATTCGGTCAAAATTCAGCCCAAAGTAGTTTTATCCCGATGTACGTAAACAATGTTCAACTGGACTAGAATAGACAGCCGAGCAATGGGTTGGGCAAGCGAAAAATGCGTGTCGTCGCAACTTAAACCGGTACCGTACCCATGAGTTTACCAGGACACTGTTTTTCATGGATCACGCTGTCCTGCAGGGGAAAAGGGCTGCGTGCCTCCATGACAAAGATAAACTCTTTGAACTCTCCCGAACCTTGGCCCTATGGGTTCGGGGGACGCCACAGCCATAATGTCCTTTTACTCGGTTGCTTTCTCAGGCTACGATCTTTACTGACTAGGAAGTGTGGGAGTAATGGGTTGAACGAAACAGAGCTGAGAACTCCCTCACTTGTGCTATTCCCATATCTTGAAACAGGGCGTATCTGGCTTTTCCCCTTGGATATTCTCAAGACAGGCTTGCAAACTTGCGATGGCAGTTGTGCCGCACACGATGTGACAAAACTGCCTCTGGTTGAGGTGCTTGTGCGCATGGCTGATAAGATAAGGGCCCTGATTTCCTCACGTTCGTAACGTGTCCGGACCAACGGTCGTGTACATGGGCTGTGGCACTTTCTCATTTAGTTAGCCCCGCGTTATCGTGAGCATGTGCGCCTTTCTTCGCTCTTCCGTAGTTTCTCGCTTTCAATTCTCTCCATTACCTAGTGGCACAACAGTATTTCATGGGTAACTGTGTCTCTCGTTCTAAACAGCCTTTTCCAGTCTTCTCTAGCAGTTCGTCTGCTGAGAAGAATATGGGGAATCACATTTCAGATGGTCTACCTATAGCGGAGCCAACAACTTCTTTTTGGACAATTCCTGCAGCCCCAATAAGCAAACCTTCGTCACAGAAGAATTTGCCATCCCATGCAGACGTGGGTGAGCACCCTATGTACCTATCTGGAGGTCGTCAGGTGAATAATTGACATAGTTATTATTGGATCTGGTATATCTGGCGCCTCTTTTGCGCGAGCTCTGCTTGAGTGCGGAGACTGTCTTCACGTCGTCATGCTTGAAGCCCAAGATGTGTGCTCAGGGGCCACCGGCAGGTGAGCAATGAGCGCCCATTTCGCTTAGATCGTTGATGCGATATTATTGTCTTGCTTAGAAATGGTGGGCATATCTTTCCCGCTACATACCATGACTACGAAGACCTGAAGACAAGAGTGGGCGAGGATATGGCAAAGAAGATGGTGCGCTTCCGGAAAGCGCACTTGGATGAGATTTTGGCCATTACCGCAGAGGAGAGTATCACAGAGTATACACAATGTCGTGCCGTCGAGGGTGTCGATGTGTACTTCGATAAGCCTACGTTTAAAGAGGCGCAGCGGAAGCTGCAAGTGTATCAATGTGATATGGGCGAATATGCAGGTTCGTATACCTGCTATGAGGGTTTAGACGCTCAAGAGGTGCGTTGGGGAATAGCATTGTGACCTCTGACTGATAGCATATTAGAGATTTCACCTTTCGCCGCTTGCGGTAGGATGTATTGCCACGCGAGCTGGTGCTATACATCCATATCGCTTTGTGACGTCGATTTTAAGCCGCCTTCTTACAGACTACCCCAAAGAGTAGGTCTTTAACATTATTGTGGCCCGCAATCATTCATGACGGTCTCAAATTCGACTTAGATTTGAGATCCACACTCACGCACCTTGTACATCGATCGATGAGCCCACATCAAGTTGCCCATTCTATAGACTCACTACAGCGCGCGGGGTGATTACGACCCCACACGTCGTACATCTCACAAATGCGTACGCACCTGCGCTCCTACCTGCTCTCAAGGGAGTTATCCGTCCCATTCGAGAAACCATGACCGCACAGCGGCCTGGCCGTAACCTCCATGCAAGCACGCTGCATGGCGGGCGGAGCTTCGTGTTCTTTGATAGTCCACGTAAGGGCTTCGACTACTTGACGCAACTCCCAGAAGGCGAGCACGAACTCATGTTCGGCGCAGGCTTCGAGTCAAGAATGGACGGCGGAGCCAATGCAATGTATGGCGTGCATAGCGCAGCGCATGTAGGTGGTGCAATGCCAATCTATTTCGGAGCGGAGAGTTGGGGTGCTGAGGCCTTACCAACCACTCCCACAGATGAAGAGGATGTAGGTGTAGGTTTGTGGGCACAGGGAAGAGTAAAGGCAATCTGGAGCGGTCTCTTGAGCGAGTCGGCCGATGGGATGCCGTGGGTTGGAAATGTGCCCGTTAATGTGGCTGGCAGGAAGGCACCTCCTGCTTCGTCTGCACCCTCTGCTCTGAATGCAAGCACGAGGAAGCTGAAGTCAGTTCTCACTGCTGCTCCTGGTGAGTGGATTGCGGCTGGCTACTCCGGTGAGGGCATGGTGCATGCGTGGCTAAGTTCCAAGGCTGTTGCGCTGATGCTTCTAGGGGAGGATCTCACTGAGGTCAAGACTTGGCTCCCCGAGTTGTTCAGTGTCACGGAAGACAGAGTCAAGATGGCCAAGCGGACTTTCAAGCCTGATGTTGTACTGAGTGGCAAGAAGCGTGTTTTCAGTCCTTAATACCTACATATGTTAAGAGTCTCCTCTATAGTGGGTACTATAATCATGTGCATGTATGTTGCGTAGTTTTCTTGGCTGTATCTAAGTATCACAGTATTGTGTAGTTTACTTGAATGCAAACTGATCATTTTTATTGTACATTGTTCCTTCTGGGCGTACTGGGGCACACTTACCCGGTAGACGAGATAGGTTTTCAAGAAATCGCACAGGTACCCAAAAGTTTGGTTCTGAGACCAATAGATCTTGATGTACATATTTTCCCCATTTATTACATGAATGTATCACCACGCCCAGGTGGTACCCGGGGGTATACTCTATACTCAATGGTGCTTTCGTCAGAAATTACGTTCGGTTAGGATCCCGACGTACGCACGCCGTGCGAGTGGAACCTCTGATCAGAGGACAAATATTAAGTTATTCGAAGTTTCAGTGTGAAGATGATCACCGCAACATGATTATTACATGCAAACATATTCAAGGATCACCCATCTACTACGTGCATTCACATTAATCTATCAGTCCGTTAGTGCGCGATCCTACTGTAACCCACTCGTACACCGCAACAATAAAAATCACTACAGATCAATCAAGAGCTCTTCTCGTCGCTCCGGAATAGTCGTAGGCGCAGACGGTGCGTACAAGTCAAACGACTGCGGCGCTGCCGTTGGTGCGGAGGGGAACTGCGGGAGCTGTGGTTGTAAGGGCTGCTGGTACTGAAGACGAGACGCCCGCGATACAGTACTGGAGCGAGCGAGAGGGGCAGGCGGTGGGGACATTGTGGTGCGTGCTGAGACGCTGTGGTGCCGTGCGAGGGCTGGCGTTTGTGGAGCGAAGGGTGGAGTCATGGGTTGAAGTGCGGGTGCTGGTGGTGGTTGAGACGGTGCGAGAGTGTTGGCGAACTGGGGTATTGACACGGGTGGGTTGACTGGAATGGTGGGAGAAGCGGGGGATTGCTGGGGGAGGTAGGATACAGATAACGGCGGACTAGTGAATTGAGGCAGGTGCTGTTGAGGAGGTGCAGGTGGCGAGGCGAGTGGGGCCGTGAGGTGCTGCGATGACCCGGGAACTTCTGAAGTATATGGCTGTGATGGTCCTGCCGCATAATGAGCATACTGAGGCTCTGACTCGGGGACAGTAGATAATGGGGGTCGGGAAATAAGAAGCTGTGGGGCATATTGGGCAGAGTCGGTCCGTGGTGGCGCAAAAACCGGGGAAGATACGGAGGGTGCATGAAGGTGCGCTGGCGCCCATTGACTGTGAGTTTGTGTGGATTGCCGCACTGGTACAGTCGCCTGTTGGGGAGAACGCCGCCACGTGGGATGTGAGACCTGATCCGTTAGTAGCTTATCGTAGAGTTTGACAGCTTGCGAAAGCTTTTCGTGCATCTCCGATAGCAGTTCTGCGTGCAAGTATCAGTAGAGTGAAATATTTCCAAGTAAACTGACGCACGTTCTTTGCGGTCGGTATCATCCAGGTTCATTGCTAGCTTGGGCCGGAGTCCGTTTGCCTTGTCGTATAGTTCGTTGACAGCAGGATACCGCGACATGTCGCGTCCTCCTTGGGCTTGCAGTTGCTCCACTGTCTGGCTGAATGTAAGAATGGCGTCGGTTTCCAAGGGCTCAAGATCATAACCCGCAAGCTTCGGCACTTGTGGGGCAGGGCGTGACGGTGGGCGGATACGATTGAGACGTGACGTACACGTTACTGTACGGATCTGTGCTTGTCAGCTCCACAGGGGCACTTGGCTTTGGGGCGTTAGCCTCGCGAAGACTTGCTTCGATGGCTGCACGGAGATCAGGATCGTCCTCATCCGCATTAGCAACTTTACGATCAGGGTGCGTCATTCTGTCCACGAGAGGAGGTTCGGAAATGTGCCAATTGTGCGCGGAGGGTTGAGCGGGGACATAACCCGGTCTGCGTCCATGAACAGCACCGACCTCCTCAAGGGAGAGCTCAATGGCGCGTTGAAGCTCGGCGTCTGCGAGGTCGCGCGCACTGCTGTGACGCGGGCTATACATACTTGCAGAATGGCGGTGTCCTTTGTCACTGTCAGGAGACAGCATATCAGAAGGGTTTATGCATACAAGGACATATATACCTTTTCTCAGCCTTTTTCTGCAGTTTATTGTAACACGCATCACAGACCCTAACAGCTTGAGTGATGCCGAAGTGAGGTAAAGGTATGGATTTAGATGAACATTGCTGGTCGAAAACTTGTCCACAATTCCGGCAGTGATGCTTCCGATTGGTAAATGTAAACGGAGTGCGACATCGCAGACACAACTCCGAATCTATCCATTCTGGAGCGGTTGACGTATCAACCATGGCAGAATTCGCCAGAGCAAAGTCCTTTGGAGGGAAATGATGTCCTGTACAGCAAGTGTGAAACATGGTGATGACAGATCGGCTGAGCGAATACCTTCACTCTTGAGGGTCTTATAGACCTGATTGACATAACTAAGACTGGGCTTGCCTTCAAAAGCCAAGGACCAGTTCTGTATATACTTCAAGATGTCGTCTCTGACAAGATGATTTAGACCAGGCATTTTGAGGATGGAGACCAGATTATCCATGAACTCCCTTGAGGCCACCTCGGTCAAGAAATGATCACCACCATTCTTAACACAGATGTCTGTCAACTGTCGGACCGGCTTCAAAGGATATCGCGGAGACTGGAATGATATGGCTTACACCGAGTGCGAGGAGTTGGACATTGGGATTCTTGTGATTGAGGCGGCGCTTGAGCGCACGCATGGCGTCTTTTGCGGGCGCTGACTTGGAGCGTATCTGGTCACATATCTCGAGATTGAGAGCAACATCCTCTGAGCCATTCGGGATGAGCTCCGAGGTAGCCTTGTCTAAAAGATAATAATGAGTGAAAGTACATTGATATTGCGGAGCATGCTCACCGACAGCGTCGTCAAGCTGTGAAGTTCCCCATAACCAGCTGCTGATCGATGCCATGTAGAATGAGCACCGCGTAAGTGAATATGATTATTAAGTGGTGTAGTGAGCCCGCGTCAACTGCGCAAGCCTTGAGTGACACGATGACAAATCAACCGTGATTTTCGCACTCCGATCAGCAAATATTCAGGTCATATTATTTCTCAGTGACGCTGTGAAAGGTAATGTGCCGCAGAAAAATTACAGAAGTATTACTAGAGAGAATCAATAAAGTTCTGCTCAATTTTTCATGACCTCTACAAAATATTTTGGGTAGCACACTGGTGTAGTTTATATGGTGCGTGACTAAAAGAGTGACTGCGTGACTCGGGGCCGGACGCAGGTGAATTGGAGCGGAGTTGTAACGTGAGACCCATCCACAGGTTGTTCTCAACAGCCATCTTGCCGTCTTCGAAGGACCTGTTGTCGACTCTTTTCTGCTATCTTGCAGATTCAGGCGAATTCATTAACGCTTCCGCCAGTTGCGCGGTTTGCTGAGTTTCGCTTGACCCGTTTTTGTGAACGATTTCCATCTTTTTTTTTGTTCCTTTTCACCAGGCACTCGTGGTTCCTTTGAACCCGCAAAAAGTGGTCAAAACTACACCACTATCCCCACAATCGCATTTACGACATCGCATTCGCGTTAATTCACGTCTCGGACTCCTTTCGGCACCATTTTCCGACCTCGTTTTTGCACTGCTGATTTTCACGCGTTTTTATCCTCACTCCTTTTGTCGCAACCATGTTGGGCCATCAGTTCGCGTATTCGGCCGCTCCCATTCGCAAAGTGAAGGAGGTCCAGTTTGGTATCTTGTCACCAGAGGAAATTGTGCGTCTTAACCCATTCCCTACTTCACTGTGCTAATTAGTCCATGTTCATCATGCAGAAAGCATACTCGGTGGCGAAAGTGGAGCATCCGGAGGTTATGGACGAGACAACGCACAAACCTAAGATGGGCGGTCTAATGGATCCTCGCATGGGAACCATCGACCGCAATTTCAAGTGCCAGACATGTGGAGAGGGAATGTCAGAATGTCCTGGTCATTTCGGCCATATCGAGTTGGCGAGGCCGGTCTTTCACCCAGGTGTGTTGACGAAACTCTCTTTGTCTTAGCGGGCGGCATTCATCCGGTTTTCAGGTTTCATCATTAAAGTAAAGAAGATCCTGGAATGTATCTGCGTAAACTGTGGAAAGCTAAAAGCCGACATCGTGAGTTGAATTTCGTTCCTCTACTCGTTTCGCACCCCACCACCCAATTTTCTGGGGGCTCTCTCCATAATCCATTGGAGAACCCCAAACCCGCACCGCGGCAGTACCTCGAACAAACGAGGCGTTTGACCCACTGCGGCGTGGTCTGCGCGCGTTTTCGATCGCTTGATCGCCGCGTGGACCATTGCAAACGCCCAGTGATGGTTGGACACGAGGTGCGCGGTGAAATGGGGCGCTGAACGAGGAGTGCGAAAATCGTAGTCCAGCCAGTGCTCAAGGCACCTTACTGGACTCGGCTTTGGTGACCCTCCCTGTGACGCGGGAAGAGGGTTAACCAATGGCCGACATATATGCCAAATCATGTCGGCTGCCTCCTTGTGATGCATTGCAATCCCTTAGATAATGTTTCTATTTCCGTCGAAGTTGATGCTGACGTTTACATTTCATGTGCTTCCTAATTTGTTCGTTCAATGCCATTGTCGTGCTTTAGTCCGATCCCAATTTCGCCGACAAGATCCGCCACATTCGCGATCCCAAGGCACGCATGGCTGTTGTATGGGCGCACTGCAAGACCAAGATGACCTGTGAGACTGACGAGCCAAAGGAAGATGGTGCTGAGGGAGATGTGGATGAGCCCAAGAAAGGTCATGGTGGATGTGGTCATATACAACCGGCCATTAGGAAAGAAGGCTTGAAGCTTTTCGTCCAATACAAACGACCCAAAGATGAGGATGAGGTCGGTATATGGCAGCATCACTGAATGCTGTTACTGACTGGTTTTCAGGATGTGAAATCGATGCAGCCTGACAAGCGGCTGATCACTCCATCTGAGGTTTACACGACATT